ACTACTCCACCCTGTTTCAACTGTCGACAACCCACTGTTCATTGGGGTGGCATTTACCACCTGTACTTTGCTAATGTTTTGTTCTTGAATCCTGTCTTGACCATACTACTGTACCTGACAATGTTTCAAAACAAAATTAAAGAATCTGTAACTAAATCCTTTTCACTGTTGGTTTTAACACCAGCTGTTAAAACATTAATTTATGTTTTTATTGCAGCTTGTATCCTACCCCCAGCAATTTGATGTCATGGTGATGCCCAACTTGTATGGCAACATTGTAAACAACGTCTGCGCTGGTCTGGTTGGTGGTCCCGGACTTGTACCAGGGGCTAATTATGGGAGCGTGTATGCAGTTTTTGAAACGGTAAGGAATTAGTTTTGTGCATTTTTTTTGGACCACTAAAATCTTTCAGCTTTTCTTTTCTTGTGGAGGCAGACTTTAAAAATGCAGTGCATTTTGACTCACGATGAAAAGACATAAGATACATAGCAATTTCCTCTAATCCTGAACCCACTATATCAATTTAAAACATCATCCACAAAACCGTATGTTACAATCAACATTGAAGTGGAATGTCTTAGAGGGGGACGCAACATCAATGCCTTAAAGGGACTCTCTAGTTTGTTTTCCTGGCACTGCAGGTCCCCTCTCCATCCTACCCCCATCACAGGTTGCTGAAGGGGTTAAAACCCCTTCAGTGAACTACCTGTATCCAGCGCCAATGTCCCTCAGCGCTGGTTCAGGGTCCACCCACGCTCCTCCACCGCCGACACCATCCAGCGAGGGAGACCTATTGCGCATGCGCGACGGGGGACACCTAATGCGCATGCGCGGCAATGCCGCGCACGCGCATTAGACCTCCCCATAGGAAAGCATTGAAAATGCTTTCAATGCTTTCCTGTGGGGATTTCAGTGACGCTGGAGGTCCTCACATAGCGTGAAGACGTCCAGCGACGCTATGGCAGAGAAAATCTGTGCTATAGACCAGGAAGTGCCCTCTAGTGGCTGTCTAGTAGACAGCCACTAGAGGAGGAGTTAACCCTGCAAGGTAAATATTGCAGTTTATGAAAACTGCAATAATTACAGTTGCAGGGTTAAGGGTAGTGGGAGTTGGCACCCATACCACTCCAATGGGAAGAAGTGGTCTGGGTGCCTGGAGTGTCCCTTTAATACAGTACTGTTTCTTAGTAACCCTTTTAGTGATTGGGAGCAAATGGGTGAAGAGGTTTATGCCAGGGGTGCCCAAAAAGTAGATACCCGGATGTTTTAAAACAGCATCCATGATACTCTTTCATTCTAAAGGCACGCAAAGCCTGGGAGCTGTATTTCTACAACATCTGGGGATCTGCCTTTTGGCATGCTGTGAACTGTAATGCCCCCTGATTCTCAGCCTAACACACTTACGTCTCCATACCAGTGTTCTGGATTACAGCGTGGGTAACAATGCAGTACACATTGTCACAAGGGGCTGGATGTAGTAGTTTTCCTGTGCTTTGTAATTATTCTTATCATTTCTAAAGGTGGAGCAATGTTGCTAGCTCTTTAAAAGCCACCATTTTAATAGCATTATTTTAAGAACCCAGACTCTCTACCAAATTAGGTCCTTTGTATCAGTTATATTGGTAAAATTGGCATCTTTCTCTGTGATCTGTGAGCACAGCTCCCTCGCCAACAGTCTGGCTGTGGTCTGCAATGGCTATTTGATGGTCTGACTTATGCTTCAACATTTCACTGGGTAAATTCTATAGACTGAGTGTTGAGGACTTTTTACGGTATGAATTATTGGTGACATAATAAAAAAACATCCTGTAGTTTCCCTTTAAATACAGATGAGACACTAGTATACCTGAAAACTCCCTAGAATTTATTTTTATTTTTTTAGGGCCACAGATTGACCTTTCCTTTGGACTTCATATTGCCTTAATTCTAAGTTTGATGCTCTGTTTCAAAACAAATCTTGTCCAAACCACATTTAAAGGAAACTGATAATGCAGCAAATGCTAATTCCAGGGGATTATGGGGACATAGAATCCGTCTTATTAAAAACAAGACTATGTAGCTGTTACAGATCCAGCTCTAATAATTCATAATGGCTGAAATTACACGTAATTGTGATACATATCAAACTGAGAAAGTATATTCAGAATAACCCGTACACTGGTTACATTATCAGCATGCTCTGTAACGGACACGTCCAAGTTACAATGACCGCTACAATGACCGCTGATACTCATAATCTCTGGATGCTATTTATTTGGATATATGTTTGACACTAAATGGTGCTTTAAAAGAGCTCCTCCTCACTCTGATATTAAATGTTGGGGGCCAGGGGGTGGGGGAGGGGAAGTTTCACTGAAACTTAAGCCAAACAAAGAGTGTGAAAAGTAGTTGATGAGCATAATTGCACGTTAAGATGGGAGCTGTGGATTTGTCAGAGTCACGGTGATATGTTAGTCTAATCTGGCTCATCCACAAATCCAGAAATTCCTTTGCTTAATTCAGATCCTTCTCTCTGCTAGTAGCAGGTATGTCTAAAAAAATCAACATATTTATGTCTAATTTTTGTAATATTTAAAATAAAGAGTTAGGCAGACTAAAGTATCTAAAAATGTACAAACTAAATTGGGGACATTATATACTAAAATAGTTTCTCTCCTCTGGACGAGAGAGAGAATTTTTTTTTTTTTTTACATACTATTCTATTCTACATACTATATATAGTCTGCCTATCTCTTTGTCTAATTTTTACATTCCTTAATAAAGAGATTGATTGTTTAGAAATAACTGCTCACCAGTGCAAAGCTCGGATGTTATTTTACTTATTATGCTTTCTGCTAAAGTATTTGTTAAGAAAAAGTTGTTGATGCCACCTGTATGACCTATTCCCATGGACCTTTCTTGATCTTCACAGGCCACCAGAAACACAGGAAAGAGCATTGCCAATAAAAACATTGCAAACCCCACAGCCATGCTTCTGGCCAGCTGCATGATGCTTGACCACCTCAAGTAAGACTAGTCATTCACCAGAACCACCACTATCACCACATCATGCACTCCTTTTCTTTTATCATACCACTTTATGTATCTATGAGCAATACTCAGTCTTACTGCTCAGGATGGAACTTCTGTCCATGTGCTCCTGTACAAACATCTGTCTGTTTTGGCAGGTTACACAGTTACGCCACGTCCATCCGGAAGGCTATATTGGGCAGTATGAATGAACACCGGGTAAGTTGAGCATCCTTCTTTAATGAGTGACTGGACAGGCTGAATCCTGAGTCGGTTGTGAAAGCTGGACGAGTTCCAAACCAGAACTGAGGAATTATCACTGACTAAGGAATTCTGTCAGATGCACCTGTTCCAAATGTCTCCACATAACGCTAAATACATCAAGGACTTGTTTTGTGTGTGATACACACACACACACACACACACACACACACACACACACACACACACACACACGCATAATTCGACTAGGTTGTGAGTCTGAACCAAAAGTAGATCTCTTGCTGTTGGTAGAACAGCTGAATAGCTTCCTTTTTCGCCACCTCTGGTCTGAATGGTGTAAAATCGATCTGTATAAATATTAGAAAGGCAAACAATAGTTATTAGCCTGGGAGATAAGAATTCATTATTTATTTTTTTCACTGACCCTTAGATTATGTTTTCAAACTGACCAAATACAGTCACAAGATGGAAAACAGGCGAAATGTGTAGCACTTTGGGTGAATCCATACCTGGTTTGTCTTAAAGGGACACTCCAGTGCCAGGAAAAGAATCAGTTTTCCTGGCACTGCAGGTCCCCTCTCCCTCCCATCCCCGGTTGCTGAAGGGGTGAAAACCCCTTCAGTCACTTAGCTGACTCGCTCCCGTCGCTCCCCCTCTTCCTTACGTCAGCCGGTGGGCGAGACTGATCCTGCCCGCCGGCTGAGGAGACCTAAGGCCGCGCACGCGCATTACAGCTCTCCATAGGAAAGCATTGAAAATTCTTTCAATGCTTTCCTATGGGGAATTGAGCAACGACGTCCAGCAACGCCCTAGCACAGAAAACCTGTGCTATGGAGCAGGAAGTGCCCTTTAGGACTTAACCCTGCAATGTAATTATTGCAGTTTATAAAAAAAACTGCAATTACACTTGCAGGGTTAAGGGTAGTGGGAGTTGGCACCCAGACCACTCCAATGGGCAGAAGTGGTCTGGGTGCCTACAGTGTCCCTTTAAACGTTAGTCTGTATTCCTGGATTTGTTGGTACAGGGGATGTTACAAACCAAACCTCTAAGTACCCAACAGTTACTGGAGGAAGGATCACACCTTTTCAGGAATTCATTAAAGGACCACTATAGTGCCAGGAAAACATACTCGTTTTCCTGGCACTATAGTGCCCTGAGGGTGCCCCCACCCTCAGGGACTCCCTCCAGCCCGGCTCTGGAAAGGGAAAAAGGGGTTAAACTTACCTTTTTCCAGCGCTGGGCGGAGAGCTCTCCTCCTCCGATCCTCCTTCTCTCCTCCCCGTCGGCTGAATGCGCACGCGCGGCAAGAGCTGCGCGCGCATTCAGCCGGTCACATAGGAAAGCATTCATAATGCTTTCCTATGGACGCTGGAGTGCTCTCACTGTGAAAATCACAGTGAGAAGCACGCAAGCGCCTCTAGTGGCTGTCAATGAGACAGCCACTAGAGGATTAGGGGGAAGGCTTAACCCATTCATAAACATAGCAGTTTCTCTGAAACTGCTATGTTTATGAAAAAATGGGTTAACCCTAGCTGGACCTGGCACCCAGACTACTTCATTAAGCTGAAGCGGTCTGGGTGCCTAGAGTGGTCCTTTAACTGTCAGTGGTTTAATAGCATTATACCCTAAAAATAAAGATACATTTTGCCATACTGTAGTTTTACAATACAGAGTAACAAAACTATTGGCTGTGTTGGCCAGATTGCTGTGTTTTTAGTTACATGTGGATACATGTATGGTTAAGGTATTAATCTTAAATGAAGCCTTTACTCAGTTACACAAGTGGCAGGTTTTTTTTTTTCATTTACAGATGCACACGCCTGATATTGGGGGTCAAGGCACTACCACTGAAGTAGTGCAGTCAATCTGCAGGCAAATTATTATCAAGGATGGCCGTGCAGTAACAGTCTGAAAAGTGAGTAATCCCAAGGCTTATTGTTCTGGTGAAGGAGTTGGTGCCTTTTTTTCACAGATTGTTAATGAGTAATTTCCTTTCCCATACTTTTCAGGAAGCAAGTGGTACAGGAGGAGAAAAAATCACAAACTACATGGCTAAAGTATGCCTAGCCTAGTAGCGAGGAATATGAGCCAGAACGTCCATCTTTGTCATTTGTCTTGCTGCCTTTTACTGTCAGATTCCGCATTTCTGGGCAATTGTGCCCCAAGTAGTGAATGGGGAATATAAACTCCACACCCCTCTGAATAACCATGACTTTGCTTTTGCAAATTACTATTGTTTGTTGCAGAATTCTCTGGCATATTGAAAGCTTAAAGTAACATTTAATTAGGTGAATACTTGGGGCCCTTGCTTTCATTTTGCTTGTTTGCATGTTTTGTACAAAGCCAGGTCAGTGCCCAGAGATCTCTTCTACTGAATGTAAGTGTGCTTTACTGGAGTATTTATCGGCACTAGTATATAATCGTCACAGTTATGTAAGGGGGGGGGGTTTACATACTAAACAGAGTTACAATGAACTGAAACTAAATCGCTGCGTCAGTGTTTAAACTTTGGCCCAAGTCCGTTGTCTGTGAGATTTGATCCACCGCAGAGAAATATACTTATTCATTCAATACCGTTTGATGTTACCAGGCAATTTTTCTTTGTGGAAGTAAATAAAATTATTCACTCCAATATCCAATACATTGTCTCTTTAATCCTTCCCAGAAAGCGGACATTCATTCCTTTTATAAATGAAAACTACATGAATTGCAAATGTTCTTCTTTATATCCGTTTAATGACAATATACGCACATTCCAAACAAGGTAACACAGAGTTCTGTTTCATAGACAGATACCTGCAGCACTCAGACACACACTAACACAATTCGGGCTGCAACTTTCACATACGTCAATAATCAAATGTCCTTCTGATTATGTCTTAGCTTATTTGTCATAATCAACTGAACGTGTGACGTCCTTGCGTACGGCAGTGATACTGCTTGTGATGACGCCACTTGTTATGACGTTTATATCGATCATCATGCAGATTACTTACTACAGGGGCATATCCACAAAGTAGATTCTCAGCTGAGGAAGCCCATGATGCTTTGCCAGCCATAGTTTCTACATCAGCTGGGTATCTATACTTTGGCCATCCCTGATATTAACGTATCTGCATAATACTATGAATTTATTTATTTCAATAACTATTGCTGCACAAATACACTGCAACCATCTTGGAAGATAAAGATTCATTTATTTTTATTCACTAAACAGTGAATTGAAAACCAAATTGCAAAATGTAGTCTAAAATCGCTAAACTGTGACTATAGATGACTTGCTCAATTTTTCAAAATGAGCATCTTTTGCCTAAACTTTACAATTCGGTTTCCATTTTAGTGTTAGTAAATAACATTTTATATCCTGAATAAATATATAGAAAAACGCATTAACTTAAAAATAACAGTCTGCCCTTTGATGAGTAACAGGAAGAAGTTAAAATTATGTTTGTGTTTTTAATGAGTGCCTGTGTGTTTAGGATGAGGACAATGGCACATGTTTTAGGACTACACGCAGTTCATTGGGAATAGGTATACAATTATTTTTTGAGAAGATGGGAACGTGGAGGTTGCAGAATGTTGGCTTGCTCCGTGGCTTTTTCTTTTCTCGACCACTAATTGTTCAAATATCACTGACCTCCCACAACTGATTATTGCCGTGTGTTGATCTTTGAGTACTGCTTTGAGAACTGGTGTGTTCTAAAATTCAGTTTGGAGTTAAAACAAGATGGAATTTGAGAAAATATTGTATTATACTTATGAGAAATTTGTGCAAACAGGGACTTTTTATTTTTGTGTGTACCCATCCATCAAGAGTATTACAGCCTCTATAGGAATACCACAACCTTGTACTTGCGGAACAGTGGACGGTACTGTTAACATTAATGTACCATAAAACCCAAAGTGGGAGGGAGGCAATCCGTCAAATAGATTTCGGTTGACAATTGATAAATTGTTTTTCAAGAATGCAGATTTCTGATAATTTCCAATAAAATTCAGCAAAATGTAATTTATTACATCTGTCATCTCCCTTCCCCCCGCCCCCCCTCAAAAACCAAACTTATTCTCCTTTTTTTATTCCTCCACACAAAGAAAGAAAGAGTGCCATTTTTCATTTGTTTTCTGTTTTTCAACTGAAAGTTTCTCCAGTTCTGTTAATTCTTGGATGTTCATGTGATGAAAAGTATGTTACATGGATGGTAATGGAAAGGGTTCAGCAGGCAGGAGTACATGGTGATTTGTGAGGAAGGGTGGCAATGAAACATAGAAACATAGAATGTGACGGCAGATAAGAACCATTCGGCCCATCTAGTCTGCCCAATTTTCTAAATACTTTCATTAGTCCCTAGCCTTATCTTATAGTTAGGATAGCCTTATGCCTATCCCATGCATGCTTAAACTCCTTTCCTGTGTTAACCTCTACCACTTCAGCTGGAAGGCTATTCCATGCATCCACTACCCTCTCAGTAAAGTAATACTTCCTGATATTATTTTTAAACCTTTGTCCCTCTAATTTAAGACTATGTCCTCTTGTTGTGGTAGTTTTTCTTCTTTTAAATATAGTCTCCTCCTTACTGTGTTGATTCCCTTTATATATTTAAATGTTTCTATCATATCCCCCCTGTCTCGTCTTTCCTCCAAGCTAAATGGGGTTTATTCCCTAAACATGGCACTGTACTGAATTGATAACTGAATTGCAAAAATTAGGCAAGAGTCAAGCTGTGACTATAGATGTGTTGCAAAGTTTTTTTGCAAACCAGTAATTTATACAGAAATGTTTAAATTCACTAAAAAAATTTTGAAAATAAATCCCAGTAAACAAGATTTGCCAAGAAGCCCTAATAAACCTGGGTGCTTTACGATGTAATTTTTTTAGGTTTTTACATTTTCTTGTACCCACTCTTGTATCTAACTTACTTATAAATCCTGTATCATATTTAACTCCTGTACTGTTCCTGTTTGGGGCCAACTGACGGGCAGAGCTTGTTGTGGCATAACAAAGTTTGGAATTCTTCATTTTCCTAACAGTCACACCACAAACCTCATTTCTCATAACAAGCTACAGCTATATAAAAAAAGTTGTATTTCTGACTGTTGTATCTGTGAATCTACCTCTCATACACATACTTCTGTCATTAATAACATTTCTTCCTGTGTATATTGCACTTTACAGACTGTGGCAAGTCACTGCAAAATGACTAATCGTACACGTCTTTGTTGCCAAGCAAGTGACTCCTTACATCAGCAGCAAGAAAGAGCTGCTGGATCTCGTTACACCTGATACTTTGAGGTGCACAGAGTGCTTTACAGGAAAAAAATTACTTACTGAAAAGTACAGCTATTTTATCCCTCGGTGGATTGTCCTTTTAAAGCCACATCCCGTTTTGGCTTTTGCATTTACGTTGTATAAAAACATCTGTCACATCCGATTAGCAGTCTTTCAACATAAAAACTGGGTTATATAAAAAAAAAAAAAACTTCATCTGAACTCCTGTAGATATGTTTTCATCCAGTCGTTCAGCAAGCTGTTGCGTTCTTGCTCCAGTTTAATTAGTGGAAGACTAAATTAAAGCAGCCTTTGTCATATATCTGTACTAGTAATGGTGACTTTCCTTTCTGCTCTGGATGCTCTGCAGCTGATAGCTGGTAGATTAACTATTGCAAATATTTAACAATCCAGAATACTTATTATGACCTTTTCCTGTACACCTGGAGCCATGTCCAAGTCTTAACATAGTGGGTGCCCCCTTTGTGGAATATGTTCCTCAATATTCTGTCCGTATGTACTCGGCTGTGGTCAGGGACATTCACAGCTTGGTTTAGGAGTTAAGCCACGGGTGCTGGAGGCACTGTGAGGCTGTGGCTCTCTTTTCTGGAAGGAATTCCAACATGGGAAGCAGAAAGTCTGAAAACTGAGTAGCTTCTTCCAGTGACCACTCGTATTTCTCCACCAGAACTTCGAAGAGTCCCCAGTGCTTTAGGTTCTGTATGTGCCTTAGTTCACCTGAAGAACAGGAAGTGGGTACAATAAAGACAACTTTACAAGCCAGTATAGGGAAAACAAAAAAAATAAGAACTTTGTAGGTTGAAGGCAAAAATATTTGAGGATCAAAAAAGAGAAAATAGATACATTTCGGCAGTGTAGACAAGATTAAGGCCTCATGGCCGAAATGTATGTATTTTTTTGTAGTCCTTTTTTGAACCTCAATAAATATTTGTGCCTTAAACCTACGGTGTGACGCCTGTTGACTAGTGATGTCCCGAACGGTTCGCCGTGGATGGCGAACATAAAAATAAACTCTGACCCTGTACCTCACAGTCAGCAGACACATTCTAGCCAATCAGCAGCAGACCCTCCCATCTTCTGGACAGCTCACCAAGAATGCAGCTTCACAATGAATGTAAAATGGATGCTGTCCAGGAGGTGGGAGGGACTGGGAGGGAGGGTCTGCTGCTGATTGGCTGGAATATGTCTGCTGACTGTGAGGTACAGGGTCAAAGTTTATGTTTATGTTCGCCATCCGCGGCGAACCGTTCGGGACATCACTACTGTTGACCTCTGTCCTTTTATATTGTTTCTGGTGGGAGGCGGACCCACATCCACAGGGCTCCCAAGTACACTCTTCTTGAGTTCAGCATTCCCTTGACTTTAAGAACTTTAGAGAACTCAGGAAGACTATATAAGCTTTTTTGTTTGTTTTTTTCTTCTCAATAACTGAAGTCATTTTACTTTACCCAGCAGTATCTTAGCATTTCTTAAGGAACCAAGACAAACGGGCTTACCAAAGCATTACATTATGTTGTTGGTTTTGTGTAGTATTTTGTAGCATTTGTAGTGAACATCTCTACATCAGTAAATAGATTTTGTATAAGTGCATTTGGGGGGATGCAGGATAAATCTGGCACCCAATATACTTGTGCATATATATAATGGATGTGCTCCTCTACTGGTTTGTTTGAGATTGTTGTCTTTGTAAAGGGAGCTTTACAGAATTTAATAGTAATAGGCATTTCTTGATTGTAAGGAAGAAAGGGGCCAAAACTAAGATCGTTAATGATTCATTGATACAAGATATCAAAAGGGACAATAATAGAACACAAAAATATAGTCCACTGATCAACATCGTAGTAAAAAATTCTAAATATTCAAGTTTCTTTTCAGAATGGATTTTAAGGAATTCAGGTAGCGAAATGGTCAAACCAAACAAACTTCTACAAAGAAAATGTTTGGGTTTTTCTTTATATTCTAGTATTCTATAAAAAACTAGTCACGTACCAAAAATAAAATCAACTATTACTGAATAGCATCTAAAAGTGATGTGTGTCCAGACAGTGATCACAGATTGAGGCTATTGATAAGATATTAGGTTGTAGAAAAAATGGTGTCAAATGTATAGTTTGCCAATAGCTGATCTGGTACTTCTTTGCATTAGATTACCCAGCATCCTCCAGCCATGACACACTCACCTCTTCTTGTGAAGTACTCTCTGGAGTAACGTCCCGACAGTGCAAAATGTGGAGGGATATCCCCAAGAAGCTCAATGATGTGTGCAATGTGATCTAGGACAGAAGTACTTGAGTCACTCTTTCAGCTCATGGGTTTTAATTTGTTCAACAAATTAGATGATCTCCATTGTTTATTAATTAATCCGCATTGTTCGTGGAACTGAAAATTACATCAATACACTCACACAAGTCTAGGTTGTTCTATGGCTATATATGTAAATAGGAAATGTCACTTCTATGGGAATTAGACAGCTGTATAAAACACGGAAAAATCAGATATAGCTTATCTTTTTTTTTTACACATGATGCTTTGTTTTCTTTTAAATTTATATTAAAGATTTAGCAAATGACCTCACCATCCTGTCCACTGTAGGCACAGCCTGGGCACTCAATGCAAATGTAGAGGAGAAATAGAAATATTGTTTAATTTCTCTTTTTCTCTGTATGCTTTTTCTATGCTGATGGACAAAACATATAACAAGATAGAGAGGTGTGGATTTCTACATATTTTTCACACCTTAACCCCTTAGTGACCAGAGCGTTTTTCCATTTTCTTACCATTAAAGGACCACTCTAGGCACCCAGACCACTTCAGCTCAATTAAGAGGTCTGGATGCCAGGTCCATCTAGGGTTAACCCTGCAGCTGTAAACATAGCAGTTTCAGAGAAACTGCTATGTTTATATTAGGGTTAATCCAACCTCTAGTGGCTGTCTCATTGACAGCCGGTAGAGGCGCTTCCGTGCTTCTCACTGTGATTTTCACAGTGAGAATACGCTGCCGTCCATAGGAAAGCATTTAGAAATGCTTTCCTATGGACTGAATGAATGCATGCATGCGGCGGATGACGTCGGAAGAGGGAGAGTTCCCGAGGGCTTTGGAGAAAGGTGAGTGTTTTAACCCCTCTTGAGCCCCGCGGGAGGGGGACCTAATAACACTATAGTGCCAGGAAAACGAGTTTGTTTTCCTGGCACTATAGTGGTCGTTTAAGGATCAGGGCTGTTTTTACATTTCTGCGGTGTTTGCGTTTAGCTGTAATTTTCCTCTTACTCATTCACTGTACCCACTCATATACTGGTTTCCCCGCCATTGAAGGGTCTTTCTAAAGATACCATTATTTTCATTATATCATATGATTTAATATAAAAACAATTATAAAGTATGATTTATTTTTTAAAAAAACACACCTTTTCTAACTTTGACCCCCAAAATCTATTTTTTTTTTTTTAAAGTTATAGGGCTATAAGTACAAGTAGGACATTGCTGTTTCAAAATATATATTTTTAAAATGTATCAATAGTGACATTGTGGGGGTGAAGCGCATCCCTCTTTCACATTTCTCTGTACCAAATCTCATTCTAAAGCTTGTTATTTGGGGGCCTACATTAAGCATCCTGGAGCTAAAAGCTCGACTCCACACCAGAGAACCAGACAGCAACGACCTATGCCATTTCTACACACTCCTAAGCTGAAGTGGCAGAAACGCAGATCTGGGACCTACCACCCACCTCTGGGCCTCGATTTGGCAACCGTGCTCAGCGACCTGATCCCAGTAGGAGGCCCAATCCTGGGGGCAGCATCCAGCACGTCCCGGCCGGCACCCCAGCTCGACATGGGAAGGAAGAACCAGCATCCCACACCTGAACTGTCAACAGGTTCGAGGGATATCGGGGCCCTACTCCAGTGGCAGCCTCCGACCAAAATGGCGCCGCCTGACACCCATGCAGCTTCGGGGGCCCAGCCGGAATCCTCACAATCAGACCCTACCCGGCAGATGCCAGGACCGGAGCAACCACAAGGAGGGTCAGACCCTGTCACCAAGCAGAATCAAGAATCTCCTGGCTAGGGATGTTGCGATCATTAAAGCCGACATGCAAGTAATCCCCGACAGAATGCAGACCTCAGAAGAGGACATTGTTGGCCTTAAACAGGGACTGTCCACACTACAGGACTCAGTGCATCAACTGCAGGCTGCCCAAGTTGCCCTATCTATTCACTACACAGCACCAGATGACAGATCCCGCCGCAATCACCTCAAGATACGGGGCATACCTGAGGCAGTTACACCTGAAGAACTACCGCACTATTTCTTTCACCTCGTGGCCTCAGTCTTGCCACCAAACCAAGCAAAGACATTTTCACTGGATGGGACATACCGCCCTTCGGGATCTGGTGGGGCTCCCGCGGCTCGAGATGTCATTGTTCGCTGGCTCACGATAAGAGAGCCCTGCTGATGGCCCTGAGAGGCTAGATGCCATATCTATCTGAAGGCTCTCATCTTACATTCTATCAATATCCTGCAGCGCAGTGGCGACAGTCACTACACCCTGTCACCAGCCAACTGAGAGCAGCTGGGATAGAATACCACTGGATGCCCCCAAGGTACCTCGTAGTAACGCAAGGTGGGACAGCACACAAAATTACCTCTCTGGCCTGAGTACCAGCCCTCCTTCAGTCTTTAGGCCTACACATGCCTACCACTAACCCAGACAGACAGCCATAAACGAGACTCAGCTAACACTGCCCCCTACCCTTCCACCAACAATATCAGGAATTTTTGTTAAATATATGGGGTAAGTAAACAGACTTCTGTCTGTGAAGCGGTGATATTTTACTCACGTGCTCTATCAAATGTGAGTAGTTTTTATCCATTTCATTTCATCACTTTTTACAGTCTACAATATTGTGGTTTTATTTTCTCTTTTATTTATATGATCGAAGAGAGACCACCAGCGCCTATATCCTAAAGTGGGGATCATAAATTTTAATATTGAGTCTGGCATGTTGCACTATATAGGTCTGATTTCTCCTATATATCTGCAAGAGAAACTGCATCCACAAGAACCTCCGATAGAGTTTATACTCCACCATATCCCAAGGCGGGGATTATTACGCCCAAGCATCTAAGTTGGAGCTGCACCTAAGCTCCTATAAAGTGTGAGTTCATATCATTTTATTTACCCTAACCTTACTGTATTTTTTGCACCTCCCCCTTTGTTTTTATCTACTTTGTGAACATGCCTATTTGCTCCATCTACAAGGTGGCATTATCAGAGTCAATCAGACTAATGCCAAATTGAGATTCTGCAGTTTGTTAAATGTATATTATTTGTACTACAAATTCCTCAACTGACAGATTGGAGGAAAATGTTATGTTAAATGTCTGTATTGTTTCTTTACCTTCATCACGTGTATAATCTTCCCCTGAGTGCGGCTCAAACAGGTAATCTCCCGTCACCAGTTCAAAAGCCTGCAGAACAAGGCAACCAGTGAGAATTCACCATTTTGTAACCAGGCATGACATTAACATGACACCGCTGTGTAATCTCCCTCCCCTTGAGTCATACCATACATGCAGTACTCCATATATCTGCAGGTGTTCCATAACCAGCTCCTATTAAAACCTCTAAGGCTCGATATTGTCTTGTCTGAATGTCTTCAGTGAAATGTTTGTGCTGAAAAACAAGGAAGAAATAGAAAGTGAATTATCCAGTGTTAGGGATCTGCAAAGAGTCACGACACTAAATTCTGTGGTTATGCCAAAAATTACATAAAGCAGGGACATGTTTTTCTTTCTAGGAATGTATTAAAAATAGTGATATCTTCATAAAAATGGATTGTAACTTCCCGGGTTAATGCATGTTTAGGGTCCTACATTATTCTTTCTTTTCTTATTTAACCCCAGAATATCCACTCTCTTAAAAAGCCATTTACCATGTTTGTCTTTGTTTATGAGACCTAGGCTTCAATAAACAAAAATATTAAAAAGGAACATGCTATAAATTGGACCTTATTTATAAATCAGTATGAGAGCACATTTGTTTTTAATCCTTTAGCGCCACAGTCCATCAACATGTATTTGTCACAGTTCTCCCCGTGCCATCCAGGCGACTAGGCGTGGCTACCCCACAGGTGCCTTACAGGGGAATTAGTCCTGGGCCCTTCTGTATCCTAAGCCTGCTCTCCTGTCTCTAAGCCTCTTCTGAACTTACGGTTCTAGACCTGTTTACCTGGTCTTGCCTGCAGCACTACGGGGCTAGACTTCTCATTTTATTACTACTTGTCTCTTTAAGTCCACCTGTGGCATCTTGCAAATTGGCTGCTTGTTATCCAACTATATGACAATGCATCTCCCTGATGGCAGTGTCAGTTCAATGGATCCTGTTTCTTAAAGGACCACTCTAGGCACCCAGACCACTTCAGCTAAATGAAGTGGTCTGGGTGCTAGGTCCAGCTAGGGTTAACCCATTTTTTCATAAACATAGCAGTTTCAGAGAAACTGCTATGTTTATGAATGGGTTAATCCTTCCCCTATTTCCTCTAGTGGCTGTCTCATTGACAGCCGCTAGAGGCGCTTGCGTGCTTCTCACTGTGATTTTCACAGTGAGAGTACGCAAGCGTCCATAGGAAAGCATTATGAATGCTTTCCTATGTGACCGGCTGAATGCGCGCGCAGCTCTTGCCGCGCGTGCGCATTCAGCTGACGGGGAGGAGAAGAGGAGGATCGGAGGAGGAGAGCTCTCCGCCCAGCGCTGGAAAAAGGTAAGTTTTAACCCCTTTCCCCCTTCCAGAGCCGGGCGGGAGGGGGACCCTGAGGGTGGGGGCACCCTCAGGGCACTATAGTGCCAGGAAAACGAGTATGTTTTCCTGGCACTATAGTGGTCCTTTAAGACTGACTTGGCTTGTGACCACTGCCTCTGGATCTTCATTATTGCCTGTTTGCTGCCTGCCCTGACCATTGGAATCTTGCCTGACTACTCTCCTGGATTTGCCCTGGTCTGTTTCCTCGTACCCGGTTATTGTTCCTGCCAAGCCCTCCTGCACAAATTCAGAGCCTATGTAGCTTCTTACCTGGTTACCCTGGGTTGTGTTTATCTGCAAGGGTGAGCAAACATCTCTGCATTTCGAACTCCACACAAGGTAAGACCATGACAGTATTTACCTACAGTCACCTTCACACCAAATCAATTAACAGACCACATGTAATTCTCCACCGGGTATCTTTGAGTTCCTGCGACCCTTGGACTTCCTAATAATTTAATTTCAGCAGGAAATCTCAAACAATGCTGACTTTGGGTAATAGATCAATCACAAGCACTCACCACCCAGCATGCGTTCCCCAAGTCGGCAATCTTGACTTCAATTTTGTCTGCGTTTTGTGGATCCAGGGGATTAACTAGGAAATCTGCAGATCTGAAAGAGACTGCAGCAAGAGACAGATGGGAACATATTTTAAATTGGGGTAAATTGTGATTACAGAAGCAGTAATCATAATTCACTTAATAACTGTATATAATTTAAATAGTTCACAAAAACTTAACAACATAATATATTAAAGGGACATTCCAAGCACCATAACCACTACAGCCCGCTGTAATGGTTATGTTGCCTGGGATGCCCTGGTGCCATCCCACAGTAAGATCTCAAAGCATTTTATCACAGTTTAATAACTTACCTGTGTCCTGTTGGTTTTCACCAGCACGAGAAGCTAGATGTCTCTTTGGAACAAAGCAGGATCGCAGTCAATAAGAGAATCAGCTGATTGCCTTCAGCCAATGACTGTGGTCCTTCATTGTTCCCTTTTACTCTAAAGTGACATCTGGTTTGCAGAATATGTGGAGCAGGCACCCAGCGGGAAACCATTATGTTGTCAAACCTTGCTAAAACAGTTTGACATTTTGTCATACAACCGCACTAAGACACTCCAAGCACTATTATACCTACAGTTTATTGTACGATTGCTGTTATTGGTTTTTTTTCTGTCAAACTGTTTTCAAGCATTCAGCATATAGCAGATGATTACCCCGAAGCAGGGAACTCAACCTCAGCCACCCCACACTACCCCCACACCCCCCAGATGCCAATGACCAACAACCAGAATTCTTTGAATGCAATATATTGTCAAGGAATCATGGGAGTTGAATTTCAGCAACAAGTTTGAGATACCGGCCCACAAGTCTACTCTCTCTGCATGACACTTAGCATCCTAGCACAACATCCACTACAATAAACTGTACAATAAGTGTTCCTTTAAGGGTGATGGCGATTTTTAAAATAGTACGATATATGATATTTGGTATATGATGTCAAACTATTTCATGGGGTGAATAGATTTATAGTCTATGAATACACTCATCATAAATTGGTAATACAGGAAATTGGAGAGTTTTATGCAAGCCTTGGGTCAGGTAAAATCACTTCAGACAGCCATGATTTATTTATATATATATAATTAGGTTTTTTTAGGTTAAAAAGAAGAAGAAAAAAAAATCTGCATGATCATCAACAGATGGAAATTTTCATATAAGGGATATGTTTAGACATAACGGGAATCAGCATGGAATCTCAGCGAAAATCTCCCAATCAATCATTCATTACAGCAGTCAACTGATCACACGCAAGCAATGCTCCATATAGCAGCATGTTCCCACAACTGCTTCTAGCATAACCTTTAAAACGTAGCGTTGCCATGGATGACTGGATTTCCTCTGAATTTATAAGATGTTTAGACCAAACAGACCTGCTTATACACAAACACACATAAACAATAGTTCAAGTTACACTTACAGCCTGGAGAAAGAAGGCCTCCTCTTTCTCGGCCCGTGGAGTATCCAGATATGGCAGAGCCCGATGTTGCGGAAAAAGCAGAGCTGGAAAAGCCTGAGGTGTGAGTGTCAGGACTGACACCGCGAGGACAAACACTGTACCCATTGCAGTTCTCATACATGCCTGATGATTGGGGGCTCTGAGCAAGGCATGTGGTTCCTCCACTTCCAAAAGAAGAGTCTGCACCCTCTCGATCACCAGACGTGGAGGGTACAGGTTGAGTAGCAAGCTGAGAGGTGCCTAAAGGAAAGCAGAGAGCCAACATGTCTTTTGAGGATTCCCTTTAGCAGATATAATCCTGGCAGTGGGATCTAAATGCCTCTTGTCTGCAGTAATATCTACAATTTAGCATTCCTTGCATGTGAATCATTAGAGCTAGGCTGTTACACTGTGTCTACTTGTGATACTCTGAACATTATGTCTGTGGATATCTGGCATAACCAGGTATGGCATCATCAACGGATGATATCAATATCAATGGAACTGCAGTTTAGGCTTGAATAAGTGCTTGCACATTATGGTCATTTCTATAGTATGTTTAGAATGACATTAACCAAATTATTTGTAGGAGATAAATTTGGCTCACTCAGAAACTTTTCTACTGTAGGATTTGCTATAAATAGCACAGATAGCACTTTCACTGAGTGCCTAGACCTATTTTCTACTTTAGCAAATTATTGTAATGTCACAGAATAACTTATCAACCCAGTTAGTCATGGGTTCTTCTCTTGTTTCATATAGTTCTATAATACACGGTTTGATAAAGCAAGAATGAATATGCATTTGGGTAAGGAGATAAAATTTTCCATTTCTTGTATACATTCTACATACATAGAATCTAGATGGTACGGTAAGATCTATCCAACTGGCTGCATTAATATGTGTCTCCTAGCTACTCACCTTCAGACTTGCCAGTTAAGTCATGGTTTATCTGGTTGTGGTTAAGGTAGGATGCATTAGACTCTTCTTCCAGCCCTCCCAGGTCCTCCATGCTGTGAATGTCTCTAAGTCGTTCTTCTAGCAACTTCTGTTGACGTTTCTGCTGACGTTTCATCTTCTTCTTCTTATTCTTAGAAACCTTCCCATTCTGATGGAGGACAACAGGGAGCCAAGAACATTAGGACAGATACAAACACTAGAGCGACCGAAAAATATAGCTTTTTAGTTTCCTGCACCTCTCAAAATTATTTTAGATTCCTGCTTTGGTATAGAGAGATTTACCTTCTCTATCCTTCCTGATCCACATGCCTTAACACTCATTCCAAGTTAATTTTTCTACCATATATAGAAACAATGTACAACCTACTGATATACGGCTACAATGTTCTATAATGTGTTATCTTTACAACAATACTTTATATTATAAATCCCATGCTAAAGGTGGAGCCCAAATTTTACTTCCAATCTACTATATCCAGTTAGGCATTTCCCTTACAGGGGTTATCAATGGATTACAGAAATCTATATTGACCATGCATTTTATTGTATGTTGAAACCATACTCACTGTAAGCATTTTGTTTTGTATGCACTTTCATTGTTTAATAAAGTTGTTTGAAAATGTAAAAATGTATTCCCTGCAGAAAATTGAGCGCTAATGGCGAACAGCACACTTTTGTTCCTGTGGCCAATGTGTTTGCTAATCAACAAGCTATTTCTACATTAATGGATACTCTTTATACATTAGTTAGCATCACAATGGTCTGAAATATGATAAAAAATATCATGTTTAAATAATATTCTTGGTAAACCGGAAAGTGAGAACATCATTCTTTGTTTTCAGAATAACGAGGGGAAAAAAACAATATAAAAAGAACAACCAACATTGTTTTTTGCTACTCAATACACTACAGAAATACAAACCCAAAAAACTGTTTATTTCACTGCACATTTTACTCAACACAAGACAATAATACCTGATGACAGGATTACCAATATTTCAAGTGTTCAATTAAGAGACAAAAATCGATTTCCCTTTCTCTTAGGGGCTAGAAAATTAAGTGTGTATGAGTGACTCTTCCATAGCAATAAAACTGGCTGTCGTGTGGAGTAGTGTGTATGACTGTACCATAGAGCTCCTGTCATATCCTGTTCCATGCTGCGGATCATTCTGGCAATGGCTTCTGGTATCCCGTACTCTTTTTACAATTCTTGTTTAGTTTTTCTCGGTTGTTTTGGTTTTCTATTCTATGTCTGGTTTTCTTTATGCCGGGATTTCTGGGTTCATTCCTTATATTCCTTCCCTGGATTTCCCAGTCTCTTGGATTCATTTAAATGTTTGTTTTATGTTGCCACACCCGTTTGTTTTCCATCATTCCTTTTGTTTCAGTGTCCTGCAGGCAGCTGCTCAAGGCTTCTGCCCTTTCTTGCAGGTAAGTGCTATATATGTCGTCTCTGGTTGTTTTAGCATACATTAGGCAGTGTAGGACCTGCCAGATATGGGGTACATTGGCGTTGTTGGCAGGCTTATTCAATGTATGATCATATAATGTGACTAAATCCCCATGATTTTCATATATAGTGCTTAGTTATGTCTCCTCTTGTTTTGCCTATCTTTTCTTGTCTTGTTTTATTTTGTATTCCCAGTCCATGTACAGTCCTGTCCAGTCATGCCCATGTTATGTTCATGTTTCCCTCATGTCTTGTGTACATGTTCTGGGTTTAGCTTCCTATCCTTCTCCAGTTCTGGGTTCTATTAGTTCTGACTTCCATGTTTGGTGTCTATCTCTAGTCTTGCCTTGTTTCAGTACTGGATACATTCTTGCTGCAGAGCCTCCATATTCAGCTCCTTGGATGTCTGCTTATTTCCAAGCTCCTAGTTCTGGGATCCGCTGAAGCTGCATCAGGGTTCTGGTATGTGGCTGCACAAACGCTGGTGCTCAACACCAGGGGGCGTGCGGTTACCCTGCACCAGACCCTGCCAATCCCCCTCCATACTGTGACTCCTACTTATCATCAGGCATACTGGGTCCCGGTCCTTGCACCGCCGCCCGGACAGTGTCTGGGTCCCGGGCACCGGACTGCCACCCTGACAGCTCCACAGCACTTCACAGCAATTTAACTGGTGTGTTTAGTGTGTACGAATGTATCAGGAGATCCTCAACAATTAAACTAACTGTTATGGTTAGTGTATACGACTGTATCAAAAGCTCCACAGCAATAAAACTGACTTCTATATTTAGTGTGTACGACTGTAATAAGAGCTCCACAGCAATTAAACTGACTGCTATGTTTAGTTTGTACGACTATAATAGGAGCTCCACAGCAATAAAACTGACTGGTATGTTTAGTGTGTACGGCTGTAATAGGAGCTCCACAGCAATAAAACTGGCTATTATATTTAGTGTGCATGACTGTATTATGGAGCTCCATAGCAATAAAAATGATACATATATAAGAACACTTACAGTGACATAGATTTTAACTATATAACATGTTTAGAAATTGGTGTTTGTAACTATAGTATCTTCATCTTGTTATACACAGTTGCAGAACAAACTGGCAGTCACCTATCATATCATCTAAACCCTGCCCAACACACATACCTCTCCCCCCACAAGATCCACAAATAAAAGTGGCCTTTGGTAGCCCCTTGAAATATACGGACGTTATGGAACAGAAGAACAAACATAAGAGAAACCTCTGCAATGTAACTATAGAGGGTCACACAAACAACACATGCAAGAAAGTAGAAGACACACTTGCTGTATGTTTTGTCACAGGCTGAGAAAACGTCTAATCGACCAATACAATACTTTGCCACTATGTTATTTGTGTATGTAACATGGATATGTTCTTCCAAACCGCGATCATACCATATACCAGGGGTAAGCAACCCTTGCAACTCCAGCTGTTATACACTACATCTCCCGTGATGCTTTGCCAGTATTATGGCTGCAAGAGCATTATGGGACATGTAGTCCACATCTGGAGTGCTGAAGGTTGTCTACCCCTGCCATATACGGTAGATTAAACCATTTCAGTGTGTGGTCTCTTAAAAACAAGCCACATGGTCCATTTGTTTGTATGTCATATGTTTTATATAATAAATATAATTTGATCAAATGAAACATATTATTAAAAAAAATACAAAGAGATAAGAGCCACAGTTAAACAGGACATTTCATTTTATTAATGAACTTCTTGGTCATCTAAGAAACGTTATCCCAGCCTCGGACAAAACTCACCAAATTCCCAATTGAGGGAAAGCCTGCAGGACTTACCAGATTGTGGTGTGAGGGTGGAGCGGAGCTGACTGATTACACCCAGCGCACAGGACAGGAGAAGAGAAGAGAAAAGGATTTAAGAAAAAGACTCAGATCTCTCACCATTGTCATGCCACCACATGACACAATTCATGCACACTTACAGCTGAGATGAAACAAGTCATGTTGGAGATGATGTGACAGAGCCATCATGATCCCTGGTGCTTGTTACACAATGGATTTCGTTTACCAAAGTATGAGGATTTGGGCTACTTTACTAGATCTGTTAATGTTCTATGCTCAAGATGGCCAACTATACTATTATTTCCAATGGTTTACTTTAAGACATTTATATAAAAAAAGGGGGGAGGGGAGGGACACAAGCCATGTAGTGTTATCTTTTATAACATCTGTTCCGTAGAATGGAGCTCAGTACATTTGTTGGCCTAAGTTTTATGGAATTATCATATAAAAGCTGAATTAATCATCAATATATCTTAGCACTTTAGCAAGTAAAATGTGCTTTTACTGGAGCTCGGAAGTTTAGGAAATTCTGCTGGAGTCAAGAAACTCCAGGAGGTTTTCCATCACACAATTAACAATGGTTTCTAGTTATTAAGTTATACAAGATGATTGGATTTGCACATTTTACCTCCTTTAGAATACAACTGGACTCTGGTTGTTAAAACTCAACATGTATTGGCAACCTGTGTAATATTAAGGTCTGTTACTTTAAACCACTCCCCCAAAAACATTGAATTAAATTTTAATAAAACAAACAAATAAAAAAAGGCCTATACTTGTGTATATTTAAAAACAGCACTCGGGGGCCACCCAGGTCACGTGTTTTGGGGGGTTTTTTGTAGGCAGTTTTTTTTGTTAAATTCCATTGATATCTGTGTATTTCTTCCAATTTTAAGTCATTGTATGCCAATACTGCATGTATATTTCTACTTTGTTACCTCGAACATCATAGCAACTACGCCCTTTGTAAAGAGACTACATCATGTAATTAGTCTATCAGCTAAAATTTCACTTCCAATCAAAATTTATTTCAGCTACAGAGTAAAACGTGGAAAAGCATTCTGTGAATAATGCCAACAACCAATGAGATATGGCAAACATGGAAGTGGTATAGTTAGGTAATACTCTTTTTTTAACCTTTAGTATAAACACTCCATTGTGTGACTAGAACTTGGAGAAGAGAACATGGTGCAAGGTACACTGAGCTAGAATAGCAGAGCAAGATAAAAGGTGCAGTTGATGGACACAGCTGTGTGAACAACAGTGCAGTAAACTCACTAGCAGAGCCAGACGGAGGAGGTTCTCCTGACTGTTGCCAGATGGTGGCCTCGGCAGCAATCCGTCGGATGTACCCTTCGTCCACGCACATCAGGATGTTCTCCGGCTTGATGTCGGTATGGATGATTTTACACTTGCTGTGCAAATAATCCAGGCCTTGCAAAACCTGAAAGCAAATCACAACATAATGGATTCCCATACAACCAGATAAATATTGGTAGGAAGTTACAAGAAGACAGTCCCACCACGCCAAGTGGATGTATTAATACACTGAATACACAATACATAGTTGTAATTATGTAGCAAAGTATACTAATGGAGATATCGATGGTACTTCACATACACAGAAACAAGAATACATCATGGTAAAGCAATAGTTTTTTTCACCATCCCTTATAACAATGCTACATTGTTTAAAATAAGACATACATCTAAAACCCGTCCTCGTGAACCTCAAACAAGCCAGAATTTCTTTGTGTCCCTGCTTAAGCACAGGTGAGTTCTTAGTGGCTTAATACAGGATAGGCTATCATATAAGACTTATTTAAAAGAAAGGTGGTATAATAATCCCACAACAACAAAGCTATAAGTAGATATTCATGGCATTCCATAGTTACCCTATCAGCTCTTGATACAATACACATGCATATAAAGCAGGGCTTACCTGTCGCAGGATGCTCTTGACACAAAGAAGAGGAAGGCCTTCATAGTTGGACTTGATAATCCACTTAAGTAGTTGATGTCCCAGGACCTCCAATACCATACAGACATCTGGACGAGTTAAGGAGAAAACCTGAGAGGAGCAAGCCTTTCCCTAGCACCGTTCCCTAATTCACAAAACGCTTCACCCAATCTTGTAATAGTTAAAGGGACACTCCAGACCCTTAAAGCACTTTAGCTTGTTGAAGTGCTTTATGTGTGAAGAGTGGGTCCTCTTTTTACAAAAAGTGCTGTTTTCAATAGAAACTTGTTTCAATCAGACAACTGGTCCTGTTACTTCCTGGTTGTTTAGCTCATACACTGTTCTTCTAGATATTCAGTATATATTTATCCACGTAATCACTCTCCCTTTTCTAAAGGATACGAACACCATTCACACCAGATATCTTGAAATCATCGATGAGTTGCACGATCATCTCCCGCTTCGGGTCACTTGGGTCACTGTCCCTGACCTATAAAAGGAGATCATTTAAGTCTCGTTAATGTAGAAACATAACCATATTTGACTCAGTACTTAGGTAGCAAAGAGCAAGTCAGGTCAGCTAAGGATCATTAGCCAAGCTAGGGACGTGATGTCTTGATTCACTGGGACTTACACATTTGAGCAGTTTAATCTCATCCACGGCTGTCTCCGTATAATGCAAAGCACTCTTCACAACCTTTAGAGCCACAAAACGTTTTCTTCTGCAAACAACGGACATAAGAGAAACGATGAAGATAACATATCGGACATTTGCCAGACAGAGGAAATAAAACAGAGAGACAATCAGGGGGAATCTACTAGCATAGCACAATTTTGTGTAAGAAAAAAAGAGTTGTGTACATTGTAAGTGTAAAAGCAGAAACATTCTATTTATTACTTTTTTGCCACCATGAAATATATAGATTACCCAATCCAACGGGCTGTTATAGAAAGAGTTAATGTAGTCACTGTGTGTATGCTCAAATGTGCAATACATCTTTTGCTATATTTGGGAGTGAATTCTTTCTTGAGCAGTGCCCGAGGCGAGCTTCATTGTAATATTTAAAGAAGTCAGGTGACCAAGAAGTTAATGAACGCATTGGCAAAGTCAAATGAAATGGAGCCAGATTAAATCTTGTCTACAGGACCACAATCAGGGGTATGATTTAGAACGCAGACGGCAGACCCATAGGATATTACGTACACAAATATTTAGAGCTAAAATATAGGAAATATAAGGAGATATAATGCAACAAAAGTTCTAAGAACTTACGTTAAGTCCTGTTGTAGATTAAAAAGGATACCAAGAGAGGGCTAGAGGAGGGATCTGAGCACACTAACCACAGTGTAACCCTATCTATAGGTCTCTGGATACCATTCCTTGTTTTTGGTTTCACTGTTTCGGAAAGGTTTGTAAAAATTCAGGGCTCTCCCGACACTCAATGACTGGCCCCTTCTCAGTCACCCTGACAATGCAGAATCTACAACTATGCATTACCAAGTGTAATAACATTCAATCTGAGCGTGTAATAACATTCAAACCGAAAGACTAAGAGTGCTGGGGGGGAGGGGGTTAGCTCAACACCGTCAGCCTATATACTGTGTTTATTTTTAACACAAGAGAATATTTTGAATCCCGTACAAGTATCTTGCTGAGATACTCGCACTGAAGCAGTTTTTGAGAGCTGAAGTTTAGCATTTCTGCATAGAAAGTTGACAACTGACCTACAGCTCCCAGAAATCGATGTTGTGCCCATTAACCCCTGGCATACAGGCCTCTATGAAATAAGCTCAGCACTGCTATAGAAAGGTGTGAGAGGATCATGATTGTCAAAGTCACAGGTAGAGTTTAGGAGTTGAAAAAGGCAGGGAATGCTAGAACTTCAAATGCGAGTATCTTTTTTATGATTAATCTATATGTGACGAACCGAACGTCGTCAAGGGCTCCGGGAGGAGTCTGCTAGCCAGTCTCCTGCCCCAGGATTATGGGCCTAGGATTGTGCAATTTGGCTTATATTGTTCAGGAACCGAACAGCTGCACAAACCACCCGGGTGCTTGTTAAGCCCAATTGATACTTTGTAGAAATTTCCACCACAGTGTTCTAAGTGTTCGTCTGTGTGGCCGCATTTCGTATGAATGACAAAGAGGTGGCGGCCATCTTGTTCCCGCAAACGCAGGCAGCGGTGTTTGGGCATAAATCTCATTGAACTAAAATTGGACACAGAAACTCCCGAACACCGCTGGACTTCCATCATCGCTTGCGTTCGGTTCTACCCCACTTAGAAAGGCACTATTTGGTGGAAACGTTCCCACAAACAATGAGAACAGGCTGCACAAGTAACTTAAGGATTCCATTCATGTTTTTTGTACTTTTGTGCTCCCGAAAGAGACCGAACATTGGCCCTGATTTCCTGGAACTGTTTTGGGCATAGGACCAAATAATTGACTTCCATGAAAATCCAAACCCCTGAACCGATCTGGGTGATTTTTTGATATGTTTATCACCCAGATCGGGGCTATCAGGGGATGTGACATTTGTGGGTTTTTCGTGTGTTTTTAGGGGGTTTGTAACGGAGCTCCCTGTACCTCTGGCTGGGTACTTCCACCAAGGACCGCTTCCTAACTGGAACAAGGGACAAACCGCAGCACTTCTGCCCACAGTCGCCTTGGCTTGACTGGGGTCCTGGAACTGCTTCCTCCTAGAGCCGAATGGGGAACTCTCTCTATCCACCCCCAGGCACTGGACGACACTCAGTCCTGGGACTTTCCCCGTTGAATTCTCCACACTGGAACAGTTATTCGCGATTAGCCCTCCCAGAAACCAGACGACACCTAGTTCTTGGAGTACAAGCTGGAATGCCTTTAATCTGGCCAGATGGCCTGCTTTTATACATTTCTGAACACAGACAAGCACGCCCATGACACTCCCACAGAAAACAGGATAATCCCTCCCCTATGCCTGGGAGATAATTGAGTCAGGAACTGTACAAAACTCAATTATCTCCAGGCACAAAAAACACACATTTCACAAACATCCCAAAAGTACCTTAAAATACACAAAATAAACCATAAAAGTTACATCCCCTGATAGTCCCTATCTGGGTCACCAACATATCCAAAATTCACCCAGATTGGTTCAGGGGTTCGGAAACTTCCTCTAAGTCCTAATTTGACCAACCGCACAAAACAGCTCCATAAGATCAAGGATAGCAGTCGGTTTAGTTCGGTAGTTTGAAACCGAGGAAAACTACCGAAAATAGCCTATATTCTTACCCTGGAGCTTGTTCACCTTGTTCGTGGGAATGTTTCCCCAGAAAAGTGTCTTCCTAAGTGTTTATGAACCGAACGCAGGAGATGCTGGAAGTCCAGCGGTGTTCGGGAGTTTCTGTGTCCGTTTTCAGTTTCATGAACTCAGCGACCAACCACCGCTGCAAACAAGATGGCCGCCACCTTGTGATCGTCCATAGGAAATGCGGCCACCCAAACGAACACTTAGAACACTGCAGTGGAAATTGCTACAAAGTAGTAATTAGGCTTAACAAGCTCCCAGGTCTCGGGTTCTTGCGGCTGTTCAGTTCCTGAACTATATAGTCAAAATACACAAACGAATACTTTTTCAGTGTATAATACAGAGCCCATAGTCTGTGGGCAGGAAGCTGGCAAGCAGGCTCCTCCAGGAGCTCGTGGCAAACGTGAGAAGGGGAATTTGTCGCAGGGGTATTTTTGGGGGTTTGTTATATTGTATATTTTTGTACCTGAGAGATAATTTAATTATATGCTTGTGTGCTCAGGTAATTATCTCTCAGGCACAGGGGAGGAGTGTGTGGAATGTTTGCTTGTAACTAGTCTCCTCTCAGGTCCAGCAGGGAATGCCCCTGGAATATGTTTAAGGAAACCCATTGCGTGGGGAGTTACATAAAAAGTCGTGTGGGTCTCCCATTGAACACATTCGTATCTGGGCTCATGTTTGGGGGATTGGAGAGCTCTAATCACTGCAGCACTTGGGATTCGGGAGACTACTAACGGATATACTCTGCCGGAGAATAGGGGATCCATTACACTATTGTTCTTGCATATATTTTGCATTTTATATATAAAATATTAAAAAGTAATGTAAATAAAACTAGGAATGTCAACAGCTTTAAGATACATTTTTACCTGACGTATACAAGTGTTTTAATATAAATAGAACTTAAATCATAATAAGATATGATATTTTTCCTCAACATTTACCCTTCAAATAAGAGTCCAAGTCCGAAAAAACTGAAAAAAACTATTTTACTCACTGTAGGTCCCAGCAGAGCCAGACTGTGGAGAAGTGGCCCCAGCCCAGCTTCCGTACAACATGGTATCGGCCATTAAAGAGATCTCCAATTTTTACTGGGTAATAGCCTCCTGGGAAATAGAACAAAAGCAAAGATAAGGAGGAGTAAACCTGGAGAACAGTAGCACGAACAAAAAAAGTAATGTGGAATAAGGGGCGGATCAAGAACCTAATCTCGGGAGGGGCACTGGTAGATTATTTAAGGAAACAATCCAAGCACAATAACCACTACAGCTCTCTGTAGTGGTTATGGTGCCAGGAGTGCCATGGTGCCTTCCCAGGGAATAGGGACACTAGTAGGGAATAGGGGCAGTAGTGTGTGTGTGAGGGTTGCAGTGTGTGTGTGTGTGTGTGTGTATAGGGGTGCAGTGTGTGTGAGGGGTGCAGTATGTGTATGGGGTAGGAGGAGTGCAGTGTGTGTGTATAGGCACACAGTGTGTGTATTGGGGGCAGTTTGTGTGTATTGGAAGGCAGTGTGTGTGTATTCTGGTGCAGTGTGTGTGTATTCGTGTGCAGTGTGTATGATGGGTGCAGTATGTGTAGTGTGTGTGTATGGGGGCAATGTGTGTATTGTTGGCAGTGTGTATGTGAGGGGTGCAGGGTGTGTGTATTGGGGGTAGTGTGTTTGTGTATGTATTGGGGCAGTGCTGTGTGTTTATTTGGGACAGTGTGTGTGAGGGGTGCAGTGTGTCTGTGTATTGGGGGCAGTGGGTTGAGGAGCAGAAAAAAAATATATATATATTATTTTTTTTAAATTAAAATAAATATTTTACCTTTGCCTAGGGAAGGGGGGATATTTCCTGCAATCCCTGGTGGTCCGAATGGTGAGAGTGAACTCTAGCCTGAGGCTAGAGTTCACTCTTGCGAGAACCGTAGCATTGCAGTGGTAACCGCAGTAACACTCTGTGCTCGTTAGAGGAGGACCCAGAGGAGCTGCAAGCTGAGCTTCTGGGCCCTCTCTCCCTCCCCTGCTAGTAAAGAGCCTGCAGACTGGTAAGGGAGATTACTGATCTCCCCTCCGGTCCTTGAAGGCACCCAGCACGGCTAGCAGGGGAGAGCAAGGCACAATTGTTTCTGGGTGTGGAGGGATAATTGCCCCGTTGCGAGACTATAACAGAATAACATATTTTTTAGGCATTGCTATTTGAGACATTTATTTTGAAGTTGGTTTGCATGTTTTGCCAGTTTTCCCTACTATATTTAAATATATATGTAGATATGTCATCTTATTGTTGCAATTGATGTTATCTCCTATAATCTATTATTTATCCAATATTATATTTTGTGGTATATATTTACTTATTCTAAATCCTAGCTCAAGACTATCTTGCTAATTTTTTGTTACATAATATTACTATTGTGTATTCAGGGGCTGGTGTACCCTGTTCCAGTTTGCGCAATATTTAGAGAATAATCCCCTACTCCCAACTGCACCACAAATATGAGATTTAAACTTATTTCAGGTTTAAATTCTAATAGTAAAGATACAGTATAATACAATACCCATGATATAACTTGTTACAAAATATTGCCCTCCTGCCTTTTTAACTTCAGCATTAAAGAGTGCAAATAACTGACTTGCGCAAAGGTCTGTTATGGCAAATAATACAAATTTGTTTTGTCATCGGAGGATCTACTGTTCCGGTTCGGTGAATGTCACAGTTTGTCGTGAGATTTTAAGTGAGTCTGTATTATGTGGCCTGCAAGACAGGTGCCCAAAATCAATCAGCAATAACATAACCCCTACTGCAGAGCTTGGTAAATCTTAGGATCCGGCCAAACGTGGCTTCTAAAAATAGGGCGACTGGCATCTTTTAGGAGAATTATTTATAGAACTCTATACATGCCTTTAACTGGCCGCCAAAAAATTAAAAGTCAGATTGGCTCTTAAATAGGTTTTAACTTCCAGATCTTAAAGGGACACTATAGTCACCTGGACAACTTTAGCTTAATGAAGCAGTTTCGGTGTATAGAACATGCCCCTGCAGCCTCACTGCTCAATCCTCTGCCATTTAGGAGTTAAATCCCTTTGTTTATGAACCCTAGTCACACCTCCCTGCATGTGACTTGCACAGCCTTCCATAAACACTTCCTGTAAAGAGAGCCCTATTTAGGCTTTCTTTATTGCAAGTTCTGTTTAATTAAGATTTTCTTATCCCCTGCTATGTTAATAGCTTGCTAGACCCTGCAAGAGCCTCCTGTATGTGATTAAAGTTCCATTTAAAGATTGAGATACAATTATTTAAGGTAAATTACATCTGTTTGAAAGTGAAACTAGGTTTTTTTTCATGCAGGCTCTGTCAATCATAGTGAGGGGAGGTGTGGCTAGGGCTGCATAAACAGAAACAAAGTGATTTAACTCCTAAATGACAGTGAATTGAGCAGTGAAATTGCAAGGGAATGATCTATACACTAAAACTGCTTTATTTAGCTAAAGTAATTAAGGTGACAATAGTGTTCCTTTAAACTGTATTTTATTTAGATTGAATGCATCTTCCTGGAATTTATGTGATATCTGCAGTAAGACACAATACATAGTTTATCAAATGTGTCCCCCCTCCCTACCTCAGTGGTTTATTTCTTCCTATCTTTTTAGTAATGGGTCACCATACATAACATTTTGAGTCTCGCTCTAATGTTCTTTATGTAGTTTTATCATGAGGGTGTTGTGCCTTTATTACTTCCGAGACACTCAAGATATGACATCTTGAAGGGTGACTCCCTTGGAATTCTCTTGAGGGGCTATCTACAGGGTTCAGGCACTGGCCTTTCCATGCATATCTATCTGTGCCCATTATATACCACTGTGACCTGTGGGTATGGATTTTTGCTGGTGGAGCATGTGATATTTGTTCATGTTAATGCTGCAGTTATCTTTGTGGCACAGTTTGCCCACAGACTAGTGAGAAATAGTTTTCTCTCATCCGAGATTAGCTTCTTATGCTCCCTTCTGTTCTACCTGGTCATCTCTCCTTGACCGTCTTTTAACCAATTCAGAACAAGAGCTTAGGAAAATCATTTATCAAGATAGTTCTCGGATGTCATATTATGAAGGGTGAACAGTTTCCTACTTGTAGCTTGTGGTTGGAGGGGCTGCCTTTCCTGTGCACAATATGGGAAAGATTCATCAAAGTGCTCTGTCCTCAAAAGTGATGCAAAAATTTAAAAGAGGAGGTGTGCCCCCATGTACCTTATTAAGGGTAAAGTGTAGTGGTTCATAAAAAATACGCCTTTCTGTGATTACAGATGTTGCCTTTTGGCTTTAAGTAGCTTAGTGAATTCTTAGTGAGGGACTCACCTAAGAAGTTTGCCCAGACCGGGCAGGCGAGCTTGCACTTTAATGGCATGTTATTTAAATGTACATTGGGATTTGGGATAGTGTGCCGGTAACTTTTTTTTTTTGCTTTTGTCCTATATACACTGATCAGTTACAACACTAAAACCACATGTCTAATATAGTGTAGGTCCCCAATGTGTTTCCAAAACAGCTCTGATGAGTCGAGGCAAGGTTTCCACAAGACCTCTGAACATGTCCTGTGGTATCTGGCACCAAGACATTAGCATCAGATCCTTAAGTACTGCAAGTTGCGAAGTGGGACCTTCACGGATCGTATTTGTTGTTCCAGCACATCACACAGATGCTCAATCGGATTGAAATCTTGGGAATTTATGCAAAGGCAACATCTTGAGATCTTTGTCCATGAAGGGATGTAGGTGGTCTGTAACAACAGGTACACAGCCGCCCAGGAGTAGTGGGAGTTTGAACGCAAAGCTTCATTTTGTGTTTGCACCAATGGAATGTGCCTGCTGGTTCTACTGATTTCCATGATTTCCATGTTGACTGCTCAACTTTTAGTACTTTAAACAACTTTTTTTTTTTTATTTGACAGTTCTCCATCCTATTATGTAACCCCAGCTAAATTAAAATGTATCCTGTCATGCCAGCTCCTTCCTTCCAAAACATTTTTGTCTTTGCAGTTAATATGATGAGGGAGTTTGGACCATACCATTATTAGCTGGACTAACAAACAAGTAGTTGCAAGAAGCCAAGTCGGATGTACAAGAAAACTGGTGGCGATGATTTTCGCTCAATTGAGATCACATTCTAAGGGGAGTGGGGTATAATTACAACAAAGGTAAAGTAAGATATATCTAATGTATAGAAAACCTGGTTGCTCCTCCTCTAGGACGCATGTGCATGAATAAGGGCCTAAAGCTTAACCCCCTCTCTGTTTCTATAATGCTTTTAATAACTCATCAGATGTTCTGTATATACCGTATATGCAGAAGTGGGAGAGGGACTTGGGGACCTCTATTTCTATGACATCTTGGTTTAAAAGCAATAACAACAACGAAGGGGTCATCAATTAGCATTTATCATTTGGAGGCTTACTGCAAGTTGATTTTGTTAATGACACGGAGGCTCCTATTATGCTTTCTCTTTCTTTAATATATTCCTCAGCAGCAAAGAGAAAAGTAACTTGAAAGAGAATATGAAGAAAAAAAATCAAACATAATCAACTCTGCCTAGTAACAAGGCAGCCAATCAGGATACAGGAACAGTCTATAAAGTGCCTTCAACTACCCTCCAGCTTCCTCTTTCTTTGCTGCTCCTCAGACCAGCTTCACTATAACTTCACTATCTCCCTATGACTTGAATTGTGTTTGTTTTCTACAGTGTTTTTCCATTTTGTTTCTTCATACTGTAGGTGTTATTTTCTGCCTTGCTCTCTGGCTGTGGTTCCCTGCCTGTGCTACATTTTTAGCAAGCCACAGGTGCCTACCCCTCGTACCACCGGTCCGCCTGTTTTCGCATCCAGCGGTGCAAGCGGTGTGTATGTTTCCCGCGCTTGCCGGCCATTACGGGGAGCAGAGCTTGTGTCCCCTTCGGCGCACTTTTCCTGAAGCGCGCAAGGGTGTTCTCCCCTGTGGCCTGTTAATCCTCGCTGCTGCGGCACCTACGAAGGCACTGGCCCTACTCCCTTTCTGTTTGTTTGTTTTGCTTCCACAGGTATTTTGTTTTGGCTTAGGTTACTCAACCCCTGTAATCTAGTGCAGTTAGGTAGTTTGCCCATATCACTGTTTCTTGGGGTTTGTGTCCAACACTCCCTCCCTGAGCTAATTTACCTTAGGCTTGGGCCTACTTTCTGGGACCTGATATTTTTATCCTACTAGCTCTCCCTTGGGTTTTTGCTGCCCCTTAATATGCAGGCACGTGGGGAAGGGGCTGGTAGCCATAATTATTCCCACATGGACCCCCTTTTAGCCCCTGCTAACCTCATGGCCGGCTCCATTCAGAGGGCCCTGGCCTCAGCGATGGGGACTGTGTACTCTTTCCTCTCCCATACGCTGGCGCAAGCTCTTCTGCAACCCCAAGACTCGCCATTTTTACTCACCACCCAAACTGAATTGACAGCCAACGTGGCTCGTAAGGCACGTGCTAAGTCCAAGCATACATCCCCTCTCCCACTGACTCAGGTTGCACCTGCCCCGACTGATTTGCCTATGGCGGTCCAAGATGACACATTACAGTGCAAAAGAGCCCCCCTATTAAGCATGGGGGGAAGAGTAGCTTTGTTTATAACAACTTAGGGCATGATCATCACAGATGCATGGGTATTACATATTGTCACGGGTTTTCGCCTTGATCTGGTATCTCCCCCTTTCTAGGCCCCAAAACTGGCCCTGCTGGACGACCAAGCCAACATTATCTCTGCAGAGATTTTGGAATTTCACACAAAACAGGCGATCCAGGAAATCCTGTACGACACCCCAGGATTCAAAAGCAATTTGCTCCTAGTGGCCAAAAAGGGTGGAGGGGTACGGCCGGTTATAAACCTCTGACACCTCAAAGCCTTCCTCCACTATCAGCATTTCAAAATGGAAGGGATTCACTGCCTCAGGGATCTTCTACGTCTATGAGATTGGATGGTCAAATTGGACCTCAAGGACACTTACCTGACTGTTCCCATGGCAGATTAACACTGGGACTTGTTGCATTTCACATGGCGTGGGCGATGATAGAGGTTTACCATTCTACCCTTCGGACTGTCTTCGGCCCCCTGATGCTTCACAAAAATCATGAAGTCGATGGTAGCGTTCCTCAGGGCTCAAGGTGTTCGGATGATAATCTACCTGGATGACATCCTGATCATGTCCTCTTCACCTGATCAAATCCTGTGTCATTTACAGTGGACAGTACGTCTGCTCAAGGATTTGGGGTTCCTCATAAATTGGGAGAAATCCATGGTAAATCCCGTGCAGAAGATAGAATTTCTGGTATTCAAGGTCGACTCGGTCTCCCAGTTTTTGTTCCTCCCAGAGGCAAAGTTGAAGGCCATCACAAAGGAGATCCGAGGCACGCTCCTGGTTTCTTCCATCTCCATCCGACAATTGGCGAATGATTAGACTACTGGCCTTATCAATACAGGATATTTTCCAGGGGCACTTGCACTACCGTGCTCTGCAACGACTGAAGGGCTCTCACCTCAGGTCATTCAGACGAATCCAAGCTGAGTCTGGAAGTGGAATCACTAGAGGAACTGGAATGGTGGCTGGACCACATGGAAGCGTGAAACGGTCGAGCGATATTCGTCACCGCTCCGGATATAATAATCGAATCAGATGCCAGCTTGCATGGCTGGGGCGCACGTTGTGGGAACGTCTCCACAGGTGGCAGATGGTCCAAGGATGAGTCCGGGCTTCACATCAATTGTCTGGAACGGCTGGCGGGTTCCTTCGCCATTCGCAGTCTATCACCGACTATGGGGAATTATTATATACTGCTCCGCATGGACAATGTGTCTGCAGTTCGGTATATCAATCACCTGGGAGGCACGAAGTCCAAACAGTTGGCGAACCTGGCGAAAGACTTCTGGCAATTCTGCCTCCGCAATGAGGTGTCGTGACGGCCGAACACATCCCGGGACTGGACAACACATGGGCAGATTGGAACTCCAGATAACTGCTGGATTCGGGGGACTGGCACCTGCTCAGGTTGACCTTCAAGCGGATGGATCGATTGTGGGGACCACTGGATGTGGATCTTTTTGCGTCAAGACTGAACTCCCAATTGCCCCGATACTTCAGTTGACGACCGGACCCAGCGGCACTGGGAGTGGATGTCTTCCTATGGACGTGGCCAACTGCTCATCACTATGCCTTCCCTCCGTTTGACCTGATTTCTCGGACGTTGCCGTACCTGTGCAGGCAAGACAGCTTGCTGGTGATAGTGGTACCACTGTGGCAAGCTTAACCGTGGTTCCCTCGACTTCTGGAGATGTCGTTAGATTTCCCACGACTAGTAACGGTGAGGCCGGACTTACTTCTGGATCTGGATGGGAACTCACACGGATTTATAGACCAGGGCTTACTCCAACTTCGGTGTGGTTTTTTTCAGTGTCCCTGGTCAATCTCAGATGTTCCACAGGCAGCTGCAAAACTCTTGGACAGCACTTTGCATGGTGCGTGTGGGCTAGCTGGTGCATCGGAAGGTCGTTGGATCCAGTTTCTGCTTCTCTAAATGCAATACTGCAATTTTTTACGTCACTTTTCGAATCAGGAAAGGCCTATCGTACTGTTAATGTCTATCGGTCAGCTATATTAGCGGGACACCGCGGTCTGCATGGCTCCATAATCGTTTGTAGGTTATTGAAAGGGTTGATACCTCGATATTCTCGGCTCATTCTGTGAGGGGGCCACGGCGTCAAAAGCTTCTAGGATTGGCTGTCGTTTGGATGACACATTGAAAGCAGCGGATTGGTCTCACGAATCAACCTTCCAAGATTTTTATTTCCGTATGATTGACCATTTTTCTTTTTGGGTTGTGGCTCCGCTTTGAACAAGCATAATAGGAGCGTCCGTGTCCTTAATAACATTCCAAGATTTTACTGCTAACATGACGTAAAGTCATAATTTTATTAATGACACGGAGGTGAATATTATTCCCACCCACTCGCCCGCTCGGTGGGTTTGGGAACTTATATAGTTGGTTAGGGTGGGGGTCTCTCCACACGGTAAGTGGTGGTTGTTTGGTTTATGTTATGGGATATCACCATGTTTTATCTATATATAACAATGTGATTTTTCAGATATGTAGAGGCAATTGTATTCCTATTGAATTTACTATAGATCCGGAGTTTGGATTTTACCATATATTTCTATCTTTTCACAGCCTGATTGTCGTTTTGGGGACGTTCTCCTTTGTGGCGACTGTTTCCTGAGTTATCTGGTCTTCGGTCTTGAAAGCAAAGAAGAGGAAGCTGGAGGGTAGTTGAAGGCACTTTATAGACTGTTTCTGTATCCTGATTGGCTGCCCTGTTACTGGGCAGAATTAGTTATGTTTGATTTTTTGTTCATAATCTCTTTCAAGTCTCTTTGCTGCTGAGGAATATATTACAGAAAGAGAAAGCATAAAGAGAAATAGTAAGTTGGCAATTTTTGCTTTGGGTGGGTTGAGGGGTAGGGGGTGTGTGGCAAAACTAGCCACTAAAGGACTGGAAAAAGGACTTTCGTTATACGAATGAACTATGCTCGGGACTTGTGAAATGGCCGTATTGTTATTGTTAGCTATACAACCAGGGAATCGGTTCCCGAACCATATGCACCGTCCTGTTCGGGAAACGATTGAAAATACCAAATGAGAGACCACCCCGATGGGATCGTGTGTCCCTCATTACCGAAAGGCAACAATGTTGCAAATGCTGTTAAATAGGGTTCGTGTGTGGCCGCCGTTTGTATTCCGAACACGTGGCGGCGGACATCTTAAAACGCACGAATAGCGGTGTTTGGTCGTTGAGTGTCTGGAACTCAAATCGGACACTCGACTAACCAAGCACCGCTAAGACCTCCAGGGCTACAGAAACATTTATACATTTTAATGAGGTTAACTGTTAAACTAAGGGGAGGAGATGTGGGCGAGGTACCGACTATGTGATTGGGTAATGTAATAATTATGATAGTTGCCTCCCTTGCATGGGAGAAACACATAAAAGCAGAGCTTGTGCATTAAAAGCCAGTTGACTCCCAGACTATGTGTCGTCTAGTCCTTGGGGAAAGGGATTATGCTGTGTTTCTTATCTTCTGTATGCTGAATCTTGGTTACCAGCGGAGAGCTCTTGGATTAACCCTTGCTACTCCGCTACAGGGTGCAAGTAGCTTGTCTTGTCTAGGGCTCAAAATAGTCTTGCACTGGCCCTGTAAATTATATATAAGCTGATTTGGAACTACACCTCCCATAAGCATCTATACGTAACATTAAATTAACAACCGATTGACAAAATTTCCCATAAGCCTCTATCAGTTCCAAGGACCACAAAACAGAACCTTCTGGAAGATATTACTCAGTGATACACAGAACTACATTGGAGGAGATTTATCATTTAAAAAACAGGTGCTATTCTGTAGCAATCACTATGAGATTCCATAGATTGTCGCTCAACAGTTTAGTATTTTATTAGAATGGCACCTATTTTACCTTGAAAATCATCCCCAATATCTTTCAGTCCAGTGGTGGCTAATACAGCTAAGCAGACCAGCAAGAAAATATAAATACAAATGATCTGAAGTCAATATAAAAATGGTCTGATACCCTGATTCGTAAGGGCATTCGAAAGGAATAGATTTTGTTTCTAGGAATGGAGATTCAGAAAACGTATTATTATTTTTGTTTCCAAGATTAGCCATTACTGCCAAAACAAATGTGCAAGCAAAAGGGAACCTTCCCAAAAGCAGACTCTAGGTAGCGCTGGGCAACTGTGCCATTCGATGTCCAGACTAACCTACAATAACTGTTCACTTCCAGAACACGGGAAAAATAGTCACTGTCTAAATTCATAGGAGGGTTCACATTCAACATCACTAAACATAACGCAAAGCAGCAACATCACTTTACTTGTTGGTAAGGATGCAGGCTTCAAATTTGGAACTACTTTTCTAGCATTTGTCTATGTCATTCTCTTATCATTTGAAGTTATGGTACAATCAAATCAACATTTGTTTTGAAATGTCATTATGGCCTCCTTTCCTCACCTTTGCAGTAATCTCCAGGGTCCTCTTGCTCCTCATTGTCAGATCCAAGAAGACCTGGAGGAGGCAGCACTGGGGTTGGCGGTGTAGGAGGTGGTTTTGGAGATAAAGGCACATCCTGTAGGCAAGGCTCTGGAAAACTGAGGAAAAAGAAAAAAAAAACTGTTTTACAGGTGGATGACAGCATAACGAGGCCATGATTACCCCCATATTCTACAGATATTTCTCCTGGCCATGTGTGATGAGACATCCAAAATGTTATTGGTCTTGTTTAAAGGGACACTCCACTGCCCAAATACAAAATAAATAAAAATCACTGTTTAGCAGATAGATCTAAAAAAATGCTTGCAAAAACTTTAGAACAGCAACATCAGAGATATAAACACCCCCCCCCAGACTTTATCTGATTGTTAAATCACAGGCCTCCCAGTGCAACTCAATGAGAAGTCTTGGAGGTGTAACCAGTCTAATTTATAAAAGTGTCATTTTTTATCGAAATCTGCACCTTTTACAAAATGAAAAAATAGGTCACACTCTTCACACAAAGTTTTTTAGCAAGCAAAAGTGCTTTAGGGATCTGGAGTGACCATTTATGATATTACGAAAGCCTGTGGAGTTGATAGGGAATTTGATAAGCTGAAAACGTCACTCACTCTTGTTAGTTATTGACATCATGTGTTTTTATGAATTTTAAGATCGCATTACAATATACGGTAAACAAAAATTTACAATTGTACTAAAAAGCTAAAGTGTATATAGAGACAGACATAATTATACATATTGTGGAAAGTACACAGACAGTATGACCAGCAAAAACTAAATAAAATACAACATATTTGTATAGCTAGGGGGATATGATAGAAACATTTAAATACATAAAGGGAATCAACACAGTTAAGGAGGAGACTATATTTAAAAGAAGAAAAACACCACAACAAGAGGACATAGTCTTAAATTAGAGTGGCAAAGGTTTAAAAATAATATCAGGAAGCATTACTTTACTGAGAAGGGTAGTGGATGCATGGAATAGCCTTCCAGCTGAAGTGGTAGAGGTTAACACAGTAAAGGAGTTTAAGCATGCGTGGGATAGGCATAAGGCTATCCTAACTATAAGATAAGGCTAGGGACTAATGAAAGTATTTAGAAAATTGGGCAGACTAGATGGGCCGAATGGTTCTTATCTGCCGTCACATTCTATGTTTCTACATAACTATAATATAAATCCCCACTCTCAGTCTTGTATCAGTATTCCGTATCTGCAGTATTTTCATATAAATCCCATGTATCTTTACCATACAATTCTCTCTTCAGTTAGACACAGTGCTCCATGGAAGCAGATTGTCACATAAGTAGCAGCTAACAATCGGTTAAACATCAGGGCTGTCAGAGCCAGTCTCCGAACAGCACCACTCTGTATAACCACCCAGATCTGTATATAATCAATAGGTTTAATACAGAGTGTATTGGAGCCAGTCTCCCAGTGGCACACTCTGTATAACCCCCCCAGCTCTGTATATAATTAATAGGTTTAATACAGAATGTATTGGTGGCAGTCTCCCAGTGGCACACTCTATATAACCACCCAGCTGTGTATATAATCAATAGGTTTAATACAGAGTGTATTGGTGCCAGTCTCCCAGTGGCACACTATATAACCACCCAGCTCTGTGTATTCCCATCATATTAGAGCTATCCTTGCATTAGCACTTGCTATATGCTACCAGACTGGCCTATCGGAGCCAATCCCCTACCAGCATGCTCTAGTTCAAACAACGTGTGATGTACTGTATACGAAGTATCAGATCCCTCAACCCAGCACAGTACAGTCTATAGACCCAACCAGACAGGTCCTATACACTGTTTCTTAACCTAGCAACCTTCACTTAAATAGGAATAACCTAGCTTCCCAGACACACACCCTCCATAGAAACATGACACTCCATAAACTTTTAGATTGTAAGCTCTTGAGATCATTGCTGTGTCTGCCTGTCAAAAAAAATAAATTATACTTTTAATCAAGCCCTGTGTAATCTGTTGCTGCTTTATTTAAAATAAAAAAAATACAATAGACAATATTATTAAAGGTTACAGCACGTGCATCCGAAAATTGTCATTATATATGCGTGCCACGTGATGGATTGTCTTGAAGTTCTATATGTGTATGGATGTACGTATTGATTATACGTATGCATATTGTGCGTCTGTAATGCATTCTTGCCTCTCTGAATGGGTCTGTGATGAATTCACAGCTCACAGATAGAACAGCAGCATCAGAGATATAAATACACAGCAGCTGCCGGCCTGTGGGGGTTGGGATCCCACACAGCTTTCCGAATAGGCTGAGGATCACCACAGCCCACTGAGACACAGCATCCCAGAACATGTGCCTATATGGAGAATTTATATACGCACAGGCATAAACACACTATTCAACATCTGGGGTGCCGATGGTTGCCTAACCCTGCGCTAGACATTGCGCTGTTTGTCACCCGATAAAAAAATTTTTTTATTGTATCTGGTCGGGTTTAATCACACAAATTCATGTTGGATGAGATCAGACTGCTGTTTACGGTTATTTGTGCCAGGAGATAAGTAGCATTGGGAGCATGCACAGCACACTCACCCCGTCTGGCTGTCTATACTAGGGCTGCGAGCTTCTGGAATCCCGGATACCTCGCGATCTGCTGCTTTCTTCTGTCTCCTATGCTTCTTCTTGCTTTTTTTGCCCTGGCTGTTACTGGAGACTAGAAACAGAAAAAGATTATTATAAAATAAAAGTGCATAAAATTCTACTTTTCAATAATAATATAATAAATTATATATAGCGTTAGGGCGGGGTAACGGGTAATTGAAACCCCCTTCCACCTGAAAAATCCACAGTGTGTATTATATATATATATATATATATATATACACACACAAAATCAGGAAGAGTTATTCACTAAAATTGGATGAGGGAGGAATTCAGAGGGAATTTAAAATTTTAAGCCAAAACAATTCCAAGTCATCTATGTAGTCAGTTAATAAAAACACTTTAACTTTAAAAATAAATAAATCATTTTTAGTGTGTTACATAGTAGACTTAGATTACTGGCTCCGCTTTGTTTAAAAAAAAAAAATGAATTCATTAATTAAAATTAAGTAAACTTACCAGTAATCGAGCACTGATACAGTTTACTTGCTGGAGCCCAGTCCATATACTGCGAGATCATTAATCGTGATGGTCTATCTCCAATCAGATGCTTCTCATAGGGAATCATTGAGGACACATGGCGCATGCAAGGCAATCATTGTCAATCCAATTCTTCTTTGTTAAAACCATTGTGTTCAATGTTCCTCTATGAGAAGCTTAAGTAGTGTTCGGCAACATCATGTTGTGCATGATGTCCCCGAACGTCCAGACTTTACAAACAAGAATCAAAGGGTCGTAAGGAAAAAATGAAAGTTTTCAACATAAATTGGCATTTCTCAAAAATATTTTTACCTTCTAATTGAAAGTCAAGACAATTCCCATGTTAGTGAATAAGCTTTTGAGTAAGAGAGGAGCAAGAGATACCTTTCCCCTGATGCAACAGAATACTGAAAATTATGCTCTAAATATCTGAAAATATATATAAAATGCTCTAAATATAACAAAACATCAGGTAAAAAACGTCCAGCTTGCCAAGTTCAAACATTGGAAAACAAATCCTCACATTAGGGCCATGTGGCAAATATCAACACAACCATAAATGAATACTGCTTTGTTTCTGCGGTATTTAAACAGTAGGCCGCCATTAACCCTTTTAGCAGCAACACTGAGTGAGCAACACAGTACAAGTCGCTACGCTAAAAGGGATGTAATGAGTTGTTTCCTATTCACTAAACTCTAAAATGTAGTCTGAACAGCAAACGGAGGCTAAAATAGCGGATTTGGAAATATTCTCTGCTATATAATTTAACATTCACATTTAAATTAGCTACAATTCAGAGTTTAGTAAATAAATCAACGTTGAGCCATGGACTGGACCCACACTAGAGGAGACCATGACTTCTCCATGGCGCCACGGAACGAGAAGAGGAACGCTGTGCAAAGGGAGGACGCTGTGCAGAGGGAGTAAAATCACTTTTTTAAAAACTCTTTTTACACTGAATGGCGCGATGAGGATGGCCTACAAACTTAGGGACAGGTTTGTATTCCTAACGCCTTAAAATACCACTCTAGGCACCCAGACCACTTCAGCTTAATGAAGTGGTCTGGGTGCCTGGTCCAGCTAGGGTTAACCCTTTTATTTTTATAAACATAGCAGTTTCAGAGAAACTGCTATGTTTATAAATGGGCTAATCCAGCCTCTAAAGCCTCTAGTGGCTGTCTCATTGACAGCCGCAAGAGGCGTTTGTGTGCTTCTCACTGTGAAAATCACAGTGAGAGCACGCAAACGTCCATAGGAAAGCATTATGAATGCTTTCCTATGAGACTGGCTGAATGCGCATGCAGCTCCTGCCGCGCATGCGCATTTAGGCGGAGAGGAGGAGGAGAGCTCCCCGCCCGGCGCTGGAGAAAGGTAAGATTTTAACCCCTTCCTCTCCCCAGAGCCCGGCGGGAGGGGATCCCTGAGGGTGGGGGCACCATCAGGGCACTATAGTGCCAGGAAAACAAGTATGTCAGTGGTCCTTTAATGTTCTCATAAACTACTCAAGTGACAGAAAAGTGTCTTACTGAAACCCTAATTTACAGTCAAACCAACAAGATTTAACCCACCATATTCAAGATTGAATGAACGCTACTGATAACGATGAAATCAGCCCATGAATCAAGACAAGCAAATAGATACTATATTTCTACATTATTACAAGTGCAAATAAAAACAGCACATTTGCATTAGTACCATTATTATTTCATATGTCTTTCAAACGTAAAGTGCTTATGGTAATATAGGGAAAGAAAGTGTAGCCGAGATCCAGAGCTGGGGTTATTTACTAAACAGTAAAATGTGATGAAAGACAAATTTTAGGCAAATGTTGAATTTTACAGATTTTGAAAAATGTTATACACTATCGTTTGTTTACGTAACTCCATTAAATTCTGCATCACTCAAAAAAAAAAAGAGTAAATGGTTAAATAATAAGAGATAAAAGTTTGAACTAAAAAGAACCTTCGTTTGACAAATAGAATAAACCAAGTTAGTTTTTTATTTTTTGAAATTCAGTTTTCGATTCACCAATATTTCTCTGTTTATTAAATAAACCCCTATATCTAATAATGTGTTGTATAAAACAGGCCACCCTGACGGGTAGCTGAGTTATTGGAGACGGGGAGGAAAATAGTTCATAAGTAATAAAAGTTGAGCAGTTGGCAGAAAGCTACACAATGGATTCACTACCTTAAAACCAACTTCCATTCTACAATTATTAACCCACCCAGGACTCTGTAGGGCCAGGGGGAGCAGAGATTGGGGGTCCTCACCTTTCTTGGAGCTCATGACAGACTTGGAGAGCTGGTAGAGAGGGGAAGAGACATCATGGGGGAGAAGAGACAGTTGCACAGTGGGTCTGAGAGTGAGAATGAAAGAGACAGCTGGGAAGAGGAGAAAAGGCTCTAAATAGTGTAAAACAGAGGGGGGAAGATGGGGAAGGAATTAGAAGAAAAAATGGGAGGTTAGAGGGGGATCAGTGAGGGGGACAGACCCTTGCAGACAGAAGAGAGGGATCGATGTGAGTGAAGTAAGGGAGATGAGAGAGACAGGCAGGGGAGCTGGAGGAAAAGACAGCTGCAGGCTGAGGAGGAAGAAGAGAGCTTATGTCACAAGGAAGGAGGAGATGGAGGGCGTCAGAGTCAGCTGGGAAGGGAGGTAGGGGCTAAGGTAACTGAATCCCACCCTCCTCCTTCTGTCACATGGAGCCATGGAAGCACTGCCTAAAAAAAGGTGGTCTTTCTATTAAAGGAGAACACTCACTGCAGACATGACCTGTGGTAACTAGTAAATACAAAAGGTTTAAAGGGGAATTGTCACTTTTCTGGAATTTATACATTGAATAAAACCATTTTTTTCACGTGAGGGTTTGTTTTCTTTTATATGTTTTTATAAGTCCTGGCTCAGTCAGGGCAGCATTGCATTGAAAGAAGTGAAACAGAAATGTTGTCTTGTTTAAGTAGAGCCCGAAATAATTTTTTGGCGATGCGTCGTAGTTACCCCTGAATGACTATTTACTATGTAACGTAACATTGCCGCTGCAACAGCTTTTGGTAACGTTTTCTGTGAGCGCTCCATAGGCTGTTACACTCAGCTCTAGACTGGAATGAGATTTCAGTGGGGTAATGGAGACAAGTGGTGGCAGGTTCCCTTTAATGTGTCTATTTTATGTATATGTTAGTATCACATATGTCTGATGTATGTACATACATGTGTAATGTAATAACTGAAGAATGTCAGCTTTATTTTGTGTGTGTAGAGAGCGGGTGCCATGTATGAGGGGTGCAGTGTGTGTGTGTAGGGTGCCGTGTATGAGGGGTGCAGTGTGTGTGTGTAGGGTGCCATGTATGAGGGGTGCAGTGTGTGTGTGTAGGGTGCCGTGTATGAGGGGTGCAGTGTGTGTGTGTGTAGGGTGCCATGTATGAGGGGTGCAGTTTGTGTGTGTAGGGTGCCATGTATGAGGGGTGCAGTGTGTGTGTAGGGTGCCATGTATGAGGGGTGCAGTGTGTGTAGGGTGCCGTGTATGAGGGGTGCAGTATATGAGGGGTGCAGTATATGAGGGGTGCAGTATGTGTAAGTAGGCTATAATGGAGCACTTTTTTTTTTTTTTTTTATTAAATAAAAATTTTTAAAAACATGTTATACCAACCCTCCATTCTTCTTACTTTTGACCAGGGAGGGAGGGACATTGCAAGTCCTGTTGGTCCAGTGGTGGCGAGTTAACTTCAGCCTGCAGCTCCTTCAGCTGCAGGCTGACTTCTCTCTTCACTCTTCTCCTCTCGCAAGCTCAGCGCTGTCAGAGCATTGCTATGGTAACGTGCGACAACGCTATGAACTGCCTGCTCACGGGAGGAGCCATCAGCCTCTCGGGTCCCCCTTCCCTCTCTCTCCTGGAACAAAGGGAATTTGGACTGGTGAGGGAGATCGTAGGATCTCCCCACCGACCCAAGAAGGAGAAAAGCGAGGACGGTACTCTGCATGGGCCGGCAGGGGCGATGAAAGGATCTCCAATGTCGGTTTCAGCCCATGGCCATTGCGACCCACTGGGTACTTGCCCGGTTTGTCCGATGACTATCAGGGACTGCTGGGAGCTCTGTAATATCCCAGCACACACTGCACATTACTGGGGGGCTCTGTAATATCCCAGTACACACTGCACATTACTGGAGGCTCTGTAATATCCCAGTACACACTGCACATTACTGGGGGCTCTGTAATATCTCAGTACACACTGCACATTACTGGGAGCTCTGTAATATCTCAGTACACACTGCACATTACTGGGGGCTCTGTAATATCTCAGTACACAATGCACATTACTGGGGGCTCTGTAATATCTCAGTACACAATGCACATTACTGGGAGCTCTGTAATATCCCAGTACACACTGCACATTACTGGGAGCTCTGTAATATCCCAGTACACACTGCACATTACTGGAGGCTCTGTAATATCCCAGTACACACTGCACATTACTGGGAGCTCTGTAATATCCCAGTACACACTGCACATTACTGGGGGCTCTGTAATATCCCAGTACACACTGCACATTACTGGGAGCTCTGTAATATCCCAGTACACACTGCACATTACTGGGGGCTCTGTAATATCCCACTACACACTGCACATTACTGGGGGCTCTGTAATATCCCAGTACACACTGCACATTACTGGAGGCTCTGTAATATCCCAGTACACACTGCACATTACTGGGAGCTCTGTAATATCCCAGTACACACTGCACATTACTGGAGGCTCTGTAATATCCCACTACACACTGCACATTACTGGGGGCTCTGTAATATCCCAGTACACACTGCACATTACTGGGAGCTCTGTAATATCCCAGTACACACTGCACATTACTGGAGGCTCTGTAATATCCCACTACACACTGCACATTACTGGGGGCTCTGTATTATCCCAGTACACACTGCACATTACTGGGGGCTCTGTAATATCCCAGTACACACTGCACATTACTGGGGGCACTGGAATATCCCAGTACACACTGCACATTACTGGGGGCACTGTAATATCCCAGTACACACTGCACATTATTGGGGGCTCTGTAATATCCCAGTACACACTGCACATTACTGGGGGCTCTGTAATATCCCACTACACACTGCACATTACTGGGGGCTCTGTAATATCCCAGTACACACTGCACATTACTGGGGGCTCTGTAATATCCCAGTACGCACTGCACATTACTGGGGACTCTGTAATATCCCAGTACACACTGCACATTACTGGGGGCTCTGTAATATCCCAGTACACACTGCACATTACTGGGGGTTCTGTAATATCCCAGTATACACTGCACATTACTGGGGGTTCTGTAATATCCCAGTACACACTGCACATTACTGGGGGTTCTGTAATATCCCAGTACACACTGCACATTACTGGGGGCTCTGTAATATCCCGGTACACACTGCACATTACTGGAGGCTCTGTAATATCTCGGTACACACTGCACATTACTGGGGGTTCTGTAATATCCCAGTACACACTGCACATTACTGGGGGCTCTGTAATATCCCGGTACACACTGCACACATTGGAGCTCTTGTAATATCCCAGTACACACTGCACATTGGGAGCTCTGTAATATCCCAGCACACCGCACACACATTGGGAGCTCTGTAATATCCCAGTACACACTGCACATTGGTCAGGGGCTCTGTAATATTCCCCAGTACACATTGCACACACTGGGAGCTCTGTAATATCCCACTACACACCGCACATTACTGGGAGCTCTTGTAAATATCCCACTACACCCCAAGTACATTACTGGGAGCTCTGTAATATCCCAGCACACACTGCACATTACTGGGAGCTCTGTAATATCTCCCACTACACACTGCACACACACATGGGAGCTCTGCAATATCCCAGTACACACCGCATTACTGGGAGCTCTGTAATATCCCAGCACACACTGCACATTACTGGGAGCTCTGTAATATCCCAGTACACACTGCACATTACTGGGGGCTCTGTAATATCCCAGCACACACTGCACATTACTGGGAGCTCTGTAATATCCCAGCACACACTGCACATTACTGGGAGCTCTGTAATATTCCACTACACACTGCACATTACTGGGAGCTCTGTAATATCCCAGTACACACTGCACATTACTGGGAGCTCTGTAATATCCCAGCACACACTGCACATTACTGGGAGCTCTGTAATATCCCAGTACACACTGCACATTACTGGGAGCTCTGTAATATCCCAGTACACACTGCACATTACTGGGGGCTCTGTAATATCCCAATACACACTGCACATTACTGGGAGCTCTGTAATATCCCAGTACACACTGCACATTACTGGGAGCTCTGTAATATCCCAGTACACACTGCACATTACTGGGGGCTCTGTAATATCCCAATACACACTGCACATTACTGGGGGCTCTGTAATATCCCAGTACACACTGCACATTACTGGGAGCTCTGTAATATCCCAATACACACTGCACATTACTGGGGGCTCTGTAATATCCCAGTACACACTGCACATTACTGGGGGCTCTGTAATATCCCAGTACACACTGCACATTACTGGGGGCTCTGTAATATCCCAGTACACACTGCACATTACTGGGAGCTCTGTAATATCCCAGTACACACTGCACATTACTGGGGGCTCTGTAATATCCCAGTACACACTGCACATTACTGGGGGGCTCTGTAATATCCCAGTACACACTGCACATTACTGGAGGCTCTGTAATATCCCACTACACACTGCACATTACTGGGGGCTCTGTATTATCCCAGTACACACTGCACATTACTGGGGGCTCTGTAATATCCCAGTACACACTGCACATTACTGGGGGCACTGGAATATCCCAGTACACACTGCACATTACTGGGGGCACTGTAATATCCCAGTACACACTGCACATTATTGGGGGCTCTGTAATATCCCAGTACACACTGCACATTACTGGGGGCTCTGTAATATCCCAGTACACACTGCACATTACTGGGGGCTCTGTAATATCCCAGTACACACTGCACATTACTGGGGGCTCTGTAATATCCCAGTACACACTGCACATTACTGGGGGCTCTGTAATATCCCACTACACACTGCACATTACTGGAGGCTCTGTAATATTCCAGTACACACTGCACATTACTGGGAGCTCTGTAATATCCCAGTACACACTGCACATTACTGGAGGCTCTGTAATATTCCAGTACACACTGCACATTACTGGGAGCTCTGTAATATCCCACTACACACTGCACATTACTGGGAGCTCTGTAATATTCCAGTACACACTGCACATTACTGGGAGCTCTGTAATATCCCAGTACACACTGCACATTAGTGGGGGCTCTGTAATATCCCAGTACACACTGCACATTACTGGAGGCTCTGTAATATCCCAGTACACACTGCACATTACTGGGAGCTCTGTAATATCCCAGTACACACTGCACATTACTGGGAGCTCTGTAATATCCCAGTACACACTGCACATTACTGGGAGCTCTGTAAAATCCCACTACACACTGCACATTACTGGGAGCTCTGTAATATTCCAGTACACACTGCACATTACTGGGAGCTCTGTAATATCCCACTACACACTGCACATTACTGGGAGCTCTGTAATATCCCAGTACACACTGCACATTACTGGGGGCTCTGTAATATCCCAGTACACACTGCACATTACTGG